ATTTTAAGTGATATTTGACTAATATATAACCTATGCTCAAATCTATTCGATATTCACATAAGATTCGTTAACTATTCGTATTGTTAAACAAATAAAAATACAAATCGAAATTAATATTCGTTTCATATTTGAATTCGAATTCGTATTCGAAAAAAATAAACAAATACAAATACAAAATCCTACTATTCAACTCGATTCGGTTCGTATACAACCCTAATAATGAGTTGATAAAGTGGAAATAGAGTAAGAACGAATTTGAGCCACACAAATGTTATCAAATATGGTATGAGACAATAATAAGGGGACATCCAAAAATGAAAAAGTAGGACAATTATAGGGGGACAGAGGGAGGAGTATTCAACCCTAATTTATAACTTTTTTGTGATCGATCAATGGCTTTTCTCGACCCCCCCCCCCCCCCCCCCCCCGGACGGAAGAGGTGTGCCCGCAGGACAATCCTGGGCATCCTCTCGTATGAGTCCCTCTGCACAACTGTATCACCTCTCATGCAAACTCTCTTCACGGTTGCACCATCACCACCTCTCTCTTTCTTAATATGTTGTGAAAGAATTACTTTTTTTTGCAACTATCGATGGAACTTTTCAGCGCACCTCTCTCTTCCACCCCCGCCTTTCTCTTTCTTCTCCAACTGCGTTCTTAGGCGGAAGAGGGACGGTGGGAGACTCTCTTCACGGTTGCACCATCACCACCTCTCTCTTTCATAATTGACGACGATGTACTAAACTTTTGCAGTGAATGAATGCGTTAAGGGACGGTGGTGCGCGTGTAGTGAATATATCAGAGGTAATAGATGCTGTCACAATGAGTTTCTTTAATTTAGTTCCCATTTTCTTCTTCTTGTTGTTTAATACTCCCTCCGTCCCACTAACAATTGGACAAGAGGGAGTGACACGCAAATCTATAAAAAATGGTTTATGTGGTTGATATTGAATTGATAAAGTAAGAATGATTTAGAGTCACACAAACTTTAACAAATAAGGTATGAGACAATCTTAGTGGGACGGACTGAAATTGTAAAATGGGACAATCTTAGCGGGACGGAAGTAGTAACATTGAGTGGTTACGCTTACATGAAGAGTAGTGAAACACGTACTATGCCGTAGGCAAAAGAGTAATAATGTAGGTGAGAAGAGAATTAACATCGGGGGAAGTGTAGTGATTCCGACAGGAAGTACACTAACGTTGACTAGTAACACTTGCATGATGTGAAGTGAATATGTTTTAATTTATTTTCTACATATTTCTTGGAAGGGTATTTCGTCCTACAATAATAATATAGTTTACATGAATAAGTTGGTTTCCGACAAATATATGATGTGTATGTACCTGACCAAGTATCGTTGACAGTACCCTGGAAAGTGTTGAAATTTAATCAAACCTGATCAGATTTTGACTCAACCTGACATGGTTTTCCACCAAATTAGATTTTCTCACGTTCTCATGCATGCTTTGTTTAATCTTGTTAGATATACCCGACTTGGTGTGATAACTAATCAGATTTTACATCTTTATTTGTCTTCTATGAAGTTTTCTCTTGTCTTCAAGCTTCTTCCTTATGCTTCCATGCTCCTTTCTCTTGCTTTTCCATCATGTTTCTTGCTTACATGTCAATATATCTTAATATCCTCTAATTCTAGTCTTATTTAAATAATAAAGATTACACCATAATCGTACAAAAACTAAGTAAACACAACGTAAAGCCATTCTAAAATGTTGTGTTTATGCGCTACTAAATACCACATATCAGTATGATTATTAAAAATGAGTCTTATAGTATAATTAACTTATTATAAAGTTTAATTAAAAAAGGAGCATTGTTTAATATTATAAAATGCGCATAACAAATGCTCCAAATGAGTATATACTAATCATGAGTATAGATTGTTTAAAAATTGTGCATTGAAGATATATTATAAAATGAACAAATAAATTTGACATAAATATAAATTACTTTTTATTTTATATAATATATTCTTCTCAAAATATTTTGTATATTTATAGCAAATTAGTAAACACGGCGAATTCTGTTAATTGAATTAAGTTTGCAGGCGTGGATTATTGAAATGAGTTTTTGTTATACTCTCATCGTCCCCCTAACTTTGTCATGTTTTACCTTTTTCGTTCGCCCCATTAAGTTTGTCACATACCGTATTTGGTAATATTTGAGTGGTTAGAGATCATTCTTACTTTATTCATACTTTATCAATTCAATATCAACCACACAATTCCACTTCTTCTAACAAATCCACACCACACCCATTTGACCCAAACTTAAAGGGATGGAGGTAGTACTAAAATAAGAACATATAGTGTTTAAAATAAATATGCATGACTGAAACATTATAAAATGCACAAAATAAATTTCAATAAATCATGACTGACAAATTATAATTTACTTTCTCTAATAAATTGTTACATTTTCATTGCTAAATCTAACAATAATTTACTAAGTGAATCTAATTATATTAAACTGTTTCTAATAAATATATTACATGTGAGGATTATAAAAATGAGTTCCATGATATATTGAAACTAGTATTGTACCCGTGCATACGCATGAGAAAAAGAAGTTGGTGCATATATTTTTACTCCGAATCTAATTAAATATTAAAATAAAAATAACTTTTTAGCATTGTACATTTTCGAAAATTAAGATTATAATAACCTAATACACACAATAAATGTTCGATGAAGAGCATCTTACAGAAAATTAATTGACACCACTCATTAGAATTTGCTACTATTTAATTTTGATGATTAAATTAATTTTAAAATTAAATACTATTCTAAAAAGGTGAGTACAATAAGTGAATGACATAAAATTTAAGTGAACAGAAAATATTATAATTAACAAATATTAGTTGAATAAGAACTTGCTACTCATTAGTTAAATTAGTACTAACATATGAGAGAGAAAATTATTCTGCTAAATTGTTATTTAGCCGGTACGATTTATCTTATACCTAAAAGAACTAAAGATGATATAAAGTTATTCTGATCAATTGTTAGCCAAATTATCTTATACCAAAATCACTACGTATGAGATAGAAAATTCTACCGCTTAAATATTAGCCGGTTTATCTTATCTTATAAAAAGAGAATGATCCAAGTGTTATAATTTTTTCTACATGTGCTTATTTTAAAAAGTAACACTTGTATCATATTTTAAAATAAACACATGTAGAAAAAAGTAACACTTGTAACAAAGAGAATGATACGTAGTATAATTTTTATAATCATATTTTCATTTTCTACATGTGCTTATTTTAAAAAGTTATATAGTATCAATGCACATATAATAAGTATCATATTTTCATTCTTTACTTAGTCCACATTTTATAAAATGTATACCGATGCACATTGCTTAGTAAACATTACACTCATTTGAATATAATATAAAAATTATTTTTAAAAAATTCATGCATGTAATATATATTTATTGCAGTAATTTAATATAATTAGGGGTATTTATTTAATTATTACTCCGTAGTTGTTTTTTACATGAGAAATTAACAATCTTATTGAGAGATAACTATATCAATTTTATTTTATTTGTTTTATAATGTTATACCAGGGGACACTTCTTTGACCCAATATACTCATAATTATTGCATACTCATTCAAAAAATTGTTAGACACATCTCTTTTAGATACTATACTCATTTAGTTTAATTATAACATAAAGCTCATTTCTATAAATCATACATACATGTTCGAAAATAAATTCATTGCAACAAGTTTATTCATTCATGTATATGTATGACATACTCATCTCAGATTTTTTATTCTCATTTTTATAATTTCATATCGATGCTCATTTCGTTTAAATGTTATACTTAATTACGTATAGCATTAAACTCACTCCCACAATCCACAAATCTAATATAATCATTAAAAACCAACTTATTACAATTACATTCATTTGCTAAACTATCAATAGATTTCACCATGATAAATGTAACTATCTTATTAAATCCTACTTATTCGAGAATTATAAACTTTAGTATGCTTATTTTATAATGGACGCAATGCACATTTATTTTGAAAATCATACTAATTTTAGTGAAATAAAATACCCATTCCTATATTACACTACACGTAATAATTAAACACATTACACTTTAAATTAATAAAATTAGCTATATTTATTAATTTTTATACAAAAAATGGAATCATTCGAAAAGTATATCTCAATTATTTTACAAGATAAGTTCTTCGAATATAATATTCAATGCAAAATAAAAATATTCAAATTTGTTAAAGTTGTATAAGTTGAATAAAGTTAGAAAAATCTAATCATAACAAGAACTATTATAAAAAGTGAAAAACAATACTATGTCAGTATTTTTTACAAGTGTCAAAAAACTATTTCATCAAAAAAGAAATTAACATTGACTTTGGAATATTTCAGAACTGTCGGTGTGCATCATATAACAAGTCAATTTAGGAACATTGAAGTTTTACTAATAAGAGAGGAACATATAGATGTTTTAAATCAAATTGTATCCCATTTAATATTTTTGGACCTGACAAGATTCAATCACTACTAGGAATAGAGCCATTAGGAAGGAACCAAAACTCTATCTAAACCATAAATATTCCTTTCTGAATTGGTAAGGAACTTGGAAAGGAATGCCATTTCTCTCTAAAACCTTCCTCTCTAAATTTTTGTTCCTACCTAAATTCCTTTGTAATGTTGTAGGCTTCCAAAAAGTATTAAATCCTTACGTAGGAAATGGTTCCTTTCAAAATTCTTACCCTACCAGATGTATTATAACTTGATAGGAAATATTTCCTTTCAATTTTTTTTTTTACTTTGTTTGCTCAGAGAGGAAAAAGTTCCTTTCAAAAGTTTTACTTTATTCAACTGTAATAAGAAAATTTAATCTAAAACAATTACATTGAAAGGAATTTCATTCCTGACAACTTCTAAAAACACATATCAATACTACACACGCTCATACATGTATTACCAATCAGATCCCTGTCAAAGCATTTCTCAAATACCACAATTTAAATTATACCAACATACGCAGTACATGATAGCAATTGCATACTTTAACCAAAAGAAATCCAAACTGTATACTTAACCAAAAGAAATCCAAAATACAGTGATGAAGTCATTCTTGAAGACCTTAAAAAGCACATACTGAATCACAAAAGCTGAATATATTGATTTGAATACAAAGACTAAACATGTTCATCTTCCTCGTTTTGGCATCCATTGTCTTCCTGATTCGGGCCATTATTCTTTGTATTGAATACTTGTGAAGTTTGTGGCATTAACATACTCATGAAAGGTTCGAATTGAGATTGTTGAGGAAGAACATTGATGTAACTAGGTTGTTGGTGAGGAAGAAAACCCATGATTGAACTGTGATGCATACTTTGGGATGGAAACACATTTCTAAAGGTACCTTGCGGTGATTGTTGACACATATTCATAGAGCGTAGCATTTTTTCAATAGTGACTGATGCAGATTCCTTGAATTGTATCAGCTCTTTGTTTGATTGTATCAGCTCTTTGTTGGATTCTATCAGCTCTTTGTGGGCCTTTTCAACTTCAGCTAAATGATGTTTCCATACTGTTTCATCATATGAGGGTTGTGAAGGAACTTCAGTAGTAGACGTACTTGGGAAGTAGTAATTGCTGGCAGAACCAAAGCTTGAAACTTTTCCGCCCCTTTTATGTCCGCCAGTAGCCTCTAACAGCAATTCTTTAGAATTAGCATTTGTGTCTTTTGACTTCAGCTCCTCCTAGGATTCCTAAACCTGAAATATAATATAAAAAAAATTATTAAGGACTACAAACTGTCAGTAGAACAATATAATGTAAATTCATCACTAAATAAATTACTTGAGGGACAAAGACGTAAGAAATACACTAGTGGATACAAATTTAATACCTACGGTATCACTACAAATGGAGTAGTACTCCAACCAACAATGAACACACATTCCGCACAATCGCATTAGTTGTTATCACAATAAATAGCAACAATATGGTTATTAGCAAATTACAACAATGGTTAACATCTCCATCTTATTTGTAAAATGTGGAAATAATAATGATAAGTCATTACTTCATTAAAATACAGTGTATTTAATAAATCTACACAATACTATAATACACTCACATAGACTTGCTTAGCTTTGGGGGTGACAAATGAACCGTCTTCTTTCTTCGCATGTGTTTGTAAATACATCTTATCTGGTTCTGCAGACACACCATGTTTTCCTCCTAAATACAAATTTAGTTCGAATAATTATTTAAAAGTGAGTTAATGTTTATAAAACAAAAGTAAAGTGAATTTTTATTAAAGGTAGACTTACATATCTTGGAATGTGTTCAGTAATGGGAATGGAACCCTCCATGTGCAAGGTGATTCCAACATCAGAATATCTATTTTTCTGATTAGTTTCACACTTTTGTAGGTACTTTATGTCACCCCATTTGACAAGCAATTGAGTCCATAGTGACTTGATTATCCAATTTGGTTTTATTTTTTTTTACTTTCGGACAGCAGACAGAGCATGTGAAAGCCCAGCTGAACCTTTACTATTAAAGTTTTTCTGGATGCGATATTCATGTTCCGGCCTCCATGTATACCTTTCCTACAAATATCATTTTACAAGTAGAACAAAAACACCGACGCTTTATTCTCAAACGAATTAAATTGAGTATCTAAATCACTTAATGTAACAGGAAGTTTATAAATACAAACATAATACCTTAAATAAATTAAGCCAAATATTTTGTAATTCGGGCGAGGCTTCTTTATAAGAGAGAATTGGCTCATCAATTTTTTTCTTAAGGCATGGCATAACATATCTGTTTGCCGAGCATGGAATGAATCTGTTGCAACATTAAACAAGTCATGAGCATCACTATTTACCATTTCGGGTAGAAATAAACATGACAATTAAAAACGTATTTATAAAGTAGAATTAATTATAAAAACGTATTTATATTAAGTAGAATAAATTATAAATACGTATTTATGTTACCCGGATTTCCCATCAGGAGCGATCTCTTTCTTAACTTCTGAGGGTGGGGATTGGTTTGGCTCACTCAAGGTAGATGTGCTATTTGGAGATTCGGGTTGACTCGATAGAGAAGCGCTTGAAGAACTTGTATTATTAGGTGAAGATGAGTTGAATGGTCTACCCTCACGGAGAAGCCATAAATGTCTTGTATTAAGAGGCGGTGGCAGAGCTAGTTGGCTGAAAGTGTTCCCAACTTGTCTCTCATTAGTAGTACGAACCATCTGTTCTACAAATGAGATTGAGACCCAATAAAACACTGGTAATTGTAGCACCAACACTAAATAATTTTAGGAGGTGTTGAGGTCATGCAGATATGGGAATTTTTTTATTTTAAAACTAAATAATAATAATTAGCTACCAAACTGATAGCATTGAAACAATTTTTTGGAGCAGGTTGCCTTACGAAACAATCAGTTCTTCCCAATTTGAATTGTGACATATTTTCTAAACTAGAGTAAATATTAATTTCAAAAATAATTATTTCCCATTTTCAATTCTGAATCCTGTTTCACTTAACAATCAATTATTTCTCATTTTATCTCCCTATTTTTACATCATTGTCATCATTTGATTAATAGGGAAAGAAAATATGCTCTCTTGAAATGTCGTGGAAACTATTTTGTAATTCATGTACAACAGTCAACTAAAAAAGAAATTATTTCCCCAGGTCCTACATCAAATGTGAATCTTGAATGCCTGAATACAGTTTCCCTATGTCCTACATCAAAGTTCTGTGTGCTTTAAAACTAATCTAAGAAATGGTTATTTTCAGAAAACGTAAAGCAAAGTTAAAATTAAAAATTATAACAAGTCCACACTAAACAATTATACATACTACAACATAGATAAACTAATACCATTATACTTCAATAAAACACAATTCATTTGCAACCCTATCAATCATATGACATCATACATGGATAGAATGAAAAACAATATATGACATTCATGACTTTTCGTTCCATGCAACTTACATTCTTTTAGATCAACACAACTAGATAAATTTCCTGCATATCCATCTGGCATTCGAATGTTATGTAACCACTCACACACCGCCCTCCGTTGATCATCATTGCATGTAAAACTTGCCTTTGGCTTCAAAACCTTTCCACCATTATCTACACTTAGTTCCAGTTCTGGTCGCAAGCAGTGTTCCCTTAAATCCATCCTCGATTTTACACCATCTTTGTTCTTATTGGTCCTTTTGATGTCCATGATAGTGAAAAACACATTATCAAACACATTTTTCTCAATGTGCATGACATCAAGATTGTGTCGGATAAGATTATCTTTCCAATATGATAAGTCCCAAAATACACTCCTTTTGGTCCAATTGTGTGTTGCCCCATATCCTGGCATCTTTAAATTGGGTTGTTCGGTGATCTTTGGAATGTATGACACACGCTCCAACACTTCTTCACCACACAATAGACAAGGAGGATATGACTTTTCAACCCTTCCTTTTAGAAAATCGTTTTTGTTTTTTCTAAAAGGATGATTCATAGACAAGAATTGGCAATGACAATCAAACCATGAATGTTTTCCTCCATTCTTTAACCAAAAAGCTTGTGAGGATTTCATACAATATGGACAAGATAATTTCCCTGTAGTTTGCCAACCTGATAGCATCCCATACGCCGGAAAGTCACTTATTGTCCACATTAAAGATGCCTTCATCACAAAGTTTTGCTTTAACGACACATCATAAGTGACAACCCCTATTTCCCACAAAGATTTCAATTCATCAATTAGTGGCTGTAAGTATACATCGATTTGAGCCTTTGGGTTATTTTTACCAGGAATTATAGAACTCAAAAACATATACGGGGTTGTCATACACATTGACGGTGAAAGGTTGTACACAGTAACGATTATGGGCCAACATGAATATGACTTAGAGGACATACCAAAAGGAGAGAAACCATCCGAACACAAGCCGAGCCTGAGAATACGTGGTTCTGAAGCAAAATCGGGATAGGTTTTATCAAAATGTTTCCATGCTCCACCGTCTGATGGATGACACATCATGCCGATGTCATGATGATTTTCAGCATGCCACCTCATATGCTTAGCTGAGCTCGGCGATGCATATAACCTTTGAAGTCTTGGAATTAGAGGTAAGTAATGCATCCTTTTCCGAGGAACTTTTGACTGGTTTTTGTACTTTCTTTGTAACGTGGCTTACCGCAAAATTTGCATTGTTCCAATTCAATATCCTCTTTGTAATACAACATGCAACCATTAATACAACAATCAATTTTCACATGACCGAGACCAAGTTTAGAGACCAATTTCTCAGCTTGATAAAAATTGGACGGTACCTTGTTTGGTAGTGGCATTGCTCGACTACATGCATCTAACATCTCATCCATGGCCTTTTGTGCAGTGTTATATGATGATTTTATACTCATCATCTTCAATGTAAATGATAATTCAGTATCTGTTGTACATCCTGACCATACTGGTTGTCGTGCAGAATCGAGTAACTCATAAAATTTTTGTGCACTTTCATGCGGCCCTTCAAACTCTCCATTTTGATGAGTAGGTGTTGAGCTCATTTCAAAATTATCATACATGTTATTCCCTTCACCTCCCATATGTGACACATCATTCACACTTTGAGTGAAAAATGGGACCTCTTCCCCACGACAAGTCCAGTGCCAATAGTTTGATTCGAACCCCCACTTATAAAGGTCGACTTTTACATCTTTGGGATTCTTGTAGCATTGATTTCTACATTTGGTACACGGGCATCTAATTACACCGTTCTCAACAAACGTAACTTGTGCGCAAGCAAAATTCACAAATTGATCTACTCCAACCTTAAATTCATCTGTCAATCCCTTTCTTCCAGGTTTGACTCGATTATACATCCAAAGACGCTCATTTCTCAGATCCATTTTAATCCTGGAATTAAAAAACATTTTTGTTTGTTATTATGATTATAATTAGTATTACAATTTCAGAATGTTGATCGCCGTAATAACTATAAATTTAACTTCACGCAACCCACACTATTGTCTACTCTTTTTTTATCAATACAAACCAATTAGTGAACACAACCAATAAAAAATTATAGGCAATACATGTTGACATTGATTACAATATAGCCAATCTCTAATTATAGAAAGGAAATTACTATACAGTAGTAATCACAATTCACCACAGAATAGATTACAGAATAATTAATCTTTAATAATAGTGAATATGAATAATATAATAATTATTTTTAGGATGTTTTTTACTTGGGCTGTTTTCAGTCCCAAATCAAATTAGACCAGACTTAAAAAGACCAGACCGATCCAGACCAGTTCACAACAGATCACGGCAGACCAGATTTAAACAGGTCAGACCAGACCAGACTAACAAATTCGGTGCAAGTAAAAACATCTTAAATGAATTAGTAACACCTTTCAAAAAATAAACCAGTAACACTTTCGTTTACGAAAATGACAAAAATTTAATACGTAATAGCACTAGCTACCTAAATATACAGAAAATCCTTTATTAGTGTAGTATAATTATTATTGACTTTATATGAGGACAATAAATAAAATTGTATAAAACGGCCAAAGTAAATACATTAAATTCTACTCCCTCTGTAACAAAAAAAATTCCAGTTTCTTATTTGTCCGTAACAAAAAAATCTTCTCATTTTTAAATCTTCCTATCATACCCTCAGTAATTCTGAAAATAATACACTATTACAACTATTTTTTTATATTTATCCTACATTTCATCACATTATTCTACTATCTTCCTATCATACAACAACAACATCCAAGCTTTAGTCCCAAAAGATATTGGGACTATCTTCCTATCATACCGTCAATAATTCATATATTCTTTCACTATTCTTAATTTACCTACTTTTGAAATAGGAAGGTTTTTTAGCTACGGAAGGAGTATAAATTAAGTTTTACAAAAGGTAATTAATCAGCTAATCTGACCCCTTAGCTTTCAAAGTAATCATGAACCAGTTTTTTTTTTTTTGCATGAACCGTTATAGGATTATACAAACAAAATATAAATACAATAATTGAACTAACCTTATTGAAGGAGAAACATGAGCTCCAATACTTGTGCATTTGTGCATCCCAGAAACAAATAGTTGCAGACAAGCTTTTGATTCCTAGCTATTCTATCCGAAAGCGAGATATGGATCGGAGGAAATAAACACACGGAGTTTTATCAGTAAAAAATGATGAGTTATAGCCGCTGAGAGTTATTACATGGAGTAAATGTATAATAAAGGGAGTGGGTTTTAGGTAGAAAAACGGATGGGTCATTAGAGAGTGGGTCAACGAGTGTCAGAGTATACCGTGCAACCGTCCCACCATCAGCATCATGTTCTCACTCCCAAAACGATGTAGTTTTGGTCAATTTAAAAAAAACTCGCGTGAACAGTATACGCGTGTACATTGACTTTTTTTGTCCCAATAACATGGATGATGTAACTCGCGTGTAAAGACATGTAACTCACGTTATTGATCAATGTAACTCAAGCTCATCCAAAATGTAACTTGTCAAATATTGATTTCAATGTAAACAATGAAAATAGAGAGTCTAATTGCACAAATGCTTTAGGTAAAACGTGAATATGTTTTGTTTTTAATATTGTTGGGATAATGGGCCGGGTCCAATACTATCGACCCGATATGCATGGACTCGGGCGTGAACCAGGCCCAGCATACGGTCCGGCTAGAGAATATGGTCCTTGGATTGATTTGTTTAGCTCTTGGGCCGACCGGCCCATGGACCTTAGATCAAGCTTCTTGTTTTAGTTGTTTAACTGGGCCAAGCCCATTAACTTTAGACAAGCCTCTTGTAAGCGCCTATAAATAGGCCGCTCCCCCCCCCCCCCCCCCTTTGTATTGGACACGTCACTTTTACCATACTGAATTGCTGCCGAATTTTCTACTCAACATATTTTCTACCAACATTAGTGCTCTCATTGAGAGCTGTTCTCTCAGTTTTCGGTAGAATCTTCGAGGAGAAAAATGGTAGGAACATCAAGGCAAGAGCGAGTTTCCGTTCACACCGAGCATTCAGAGCAGCCCGATGGCCATCGTGTGAGAAGTCAGGTAGTGAGACCGTTGGGAGATCTCCGGAACCATTTGGCGAGCACAGGGGACCTGAGAGGTTCGCTAAGCCGCAGTCGTGACAGACAATCTATTCATGATCGGATCGGAGGTCGCCGTCGTCGGGCTCCGCGCACGAACCGACTTGACGCTGGAGTGCGGGCCCTACAGGAGGCCACGCGCGCCATTGAGGCTTTGGCTCAGAATTTCCAGGGGATGATGCCGCGGAGAGCTAATCATGAAACTCCTAGACACACCGCCCCTGAGGACATCGAGACTTCCTCTGGGAGATATGAAGGGCGACCTACCAGTTTGGACGAATCGCCCCGGAGGGAGCATATGCCCCGGCAGGCCGAGCAGCCTCTACGACCCGGAAGGGGGGGGGGGGCGCCGAGTCTCGTCGTTGGAGGGCGGGGATGACTTCTCTCATCATTCCCGCCGTCCGAGCGGTCAAACCGGTTCTATAGAAGGACGTCGTGGTGGCCGTCGACCTCATGCGCGCGAAAGGGTCACAGAATCCTATGTGCGGATCCAGCCCCGTGCTGAGCGCATGCCGGTGGAACCAGCGCCCGAAGCTGTGGAGGATCTCAGATTGAGATTGGACGAGCTAAGGAGGAGGGTTGTTGGGGGAGAGCCGTACGTGGCCGATCTCCATATCCCGGAGCCCTTCACTCGTGCTGTAATGGAGGCTCCGTTGCCAAGGGGCTACAAACCTTGCAATGTGGATACTTACAAGGGCACTTCGGACCCGCAACACCACATATCACGTTACCTGTCATATATGGTCATGATGGGGTACGAAGATGCCATACGATGCAGAGGGTTCGCGGCTACTCTAGATGGCCCGGCTCGTGAGTGGTATGACACACTGCCCGATGGGAGCATCGGGAACTTCAGGGAGTTGGCTAGGCACTTCCTCTTGAGGTTCGCCGGCTCACGGGATGTGAAGAAGAATTTCAGTCACCTGTTCAGCCTGAAGCAAGGAAAGAAGGAGGCTCTGTCCACTTTCCTTGCAAGGTGGAGGGCCGAGTCGGTCAAGGTCCAGGGCCTTGACGACAGGACCGGAGTAGCAATGCTGACAAATTCTATCCGATCGGGAGAACTTTATAAGGATTTTGTTAGGAATCCACCCGCTTTATACGAGGAAGCCCTGAGGCGGGCAGACCGTCAGGCTGAGGCAGAGGACGCTGAACAGAGAAAGAGAGATGAAGAGGATGGAAAGAGAGAAGACATGAAGGACAAGGGGAAACGCGGTGACCCAGATGATGAAGACGCTGATAGGAAGTCTGGTGGAAAGGGCGGACGGATCAAAGGTAAGAAGAATAGGAATAAGGGGAGGACGGACGTCCCTAACGGTCCACTCCTACCTACCAAACATCTGACACCTTTGGCTCACCCGGTCGGGACGGTCCTCGACTACGCCGAGGAGCAGGGCTTGGTTTCCTTTCCAGAGGAATGTGACGTAGTCACTGCCAAACGCAATATCGACCAGTACTGCAGGTTTCACCGGAATTTCGAGCATGATACGGAGGAATGCATAGTTCTCCGTAGACAAATCGAGGCACTTATCAAACAAGGATATTTGGGCCAATTTGTAGGAAAACCGGGAAATGCCCAGAGAGGGAGGAACCTGACATGGAGGCGTTCCGATCAAGCCACCACATCCAAGGAGAAACAGCCCCTTGACCAACCATCAAAGAAGCGCGAACTCGGAGCTCTGTCTGAGGATGACGAGTGTGACCTAGGAGAGGGAGCCCGGAAGCATCACAAATGTTCCTACATCGTGGGAGGCCCCCAAGGAGGGGACACATCGGGCGAAAGGAAGCGATGGGCTCGATCCTTGTACGTCGGGGAAATTACCCGGGTACCTGCAGAAAAAAAGATGAGAAGAGATCCGATCTACTTCACCGATGATGACTTACCACCCATGCCACCACCGCATAGGGACGCCTTAATGATTAAGGTGGAGATCAACAATACAATCGTTCATCGAGTTTTAGTGGACAATGGAAGCTCAGTGAATGTAATGTATTATGACACATTCCAAGGCCTTGGTCTGAGCGGGGCGGATCTGAGTCCGGTAAGGACACCTTTGTCCGGGTTTACCGGGGACTCAATCGAATCGGAAGGCAGTGTGGTGTTGCCCGTGGTGGTGGGTTCGGAACCCTGTGTGACGAGGTTGAACATCGAGTTCATCGTTGTACGTTTAACCTGTCCGCACAAAATCATCCTGGGAAGACCCGCGCTGGAGGACTTGAGATGCATTATCTCTCAGGAACATTTATGTATGAAATTCCCCACTCCGAACGGGGTCGGGATAGCTCGGGGAGATCAAAGGATGGCCCGGAGTTGTTACATGAAGGCGTGCAAACAACTCGAACAGAGGGACCTCAGGGTCCACACTATCAACAACAAAGCCATGAAGTATGAGGATGGCCAGCTCCGCGCTGAGCCCACCTCCGAGGTTGAAGAAGTTCATATCGATCCCGGGCACCCAGAGCGAAAGATCAAAATCGGGCTGGGGCTCTCGGCCGGGATGAGAGAGAAGATTATCCAAGTGTTGATCACGTTCAGTGTGATCTTTGCATGGGGCCCTGAAGATATGTCGGGGTTGGACCGGAGTGTGGCCGTTCACAAGCTAGCGGTCAACCCAACGGTGAAGCCGGTCCAGCAGAAGAGGAGACACCTCTCGGTGGAACGAAGGGAATTCGTGAAGAAGGAGGTAGCCATGCTCTTGACTATCAAACACATCAAGGAAGTATTATACCCGGAATGGTTGGCAAATGTGGTCCTGGCACCGAAGCCCCCAACTTGGAGAATGTGCGTCGATTACACGGACCTCAACAGGGCATGCCTGATGGACCCCTTTCCTCTACCTAACATCGATCAGCTAGTTGACGGGACGGCCGGGTGCGAACTCCTTAGCTTCATGGACGCATTCCGAGGGTATCATCAGATATCCATGCATGAAGATGATGCGGAGAAGACCTCGTTCATCACCCCGGAGGGGATCTTTTGCTATCTAGTTATGGCTTTCGGCTTGAAGAACTCCGGGGCGACATACACGAGAATGGTTGCAAAGGTGTTTCGAACAGTGCTAGGAAGGAACATGGAAGCGTATGTAGACGATATGATCGTGAAAAGCGTACGAGCGACTGACCATGCCGACGACTTAGCCGAGATTTTCGGGATCATGAGGGCAGTCCGGCTGCGCCTGAACCCGAAAAAGTGCATGTTTGCTGTCCAGGGCGGAAAGTTTTTGGGGTACATGGTCACCCGGAGAGGGATAGAGCCGAACCCCGAAAAAGTGAGAGCAATCCTTGACATGGAACCTCTGAGGTCGGTGAAGGAAGTGCAAGTTCTCACTGGGCGGCTGGCATCACTTGGGCGTTTCATGTCAAAGTCAGCGGAGAAGTCCCTACCTTTCTTCCAGGTTTTGAAGAAGCAAAATGGATTCGCATGGACGGAGGAGTGCCAAAGTGCATTCGAAGACCTGAAGAAGTATCTTCTCTCTGATCCACTTCTGAGTAAGCCAAAGAAGGGGGAGACGCTGATATTGTACTTAGGGGTATCGCAGGGCGCGATAAGCTCCGTGCTGGTCCGCGAGGAAGACGGCATTCAGAACCCCGTATACTAAGTGAGTAAAACCTTACAGAATGCGGAGTTGCGATACACCCCGCTGGAGAAGACCATTTATGCTGCATACGTTACGGCGAAGAAGTTAACTCATTATTTCCAAGCACACCCGATCAAGGTCCTTTCGGATCAACCTCTGGGTGCAGCTCTGAGAACCCCCGGGACGACACGGGTTGTGAAGTGGTCGATGCTTCTCAACCAGTATGAGGTGGATTTTCAGCCTCGATCGTCCATCAAGGGGCAGGCGCTTGCGGACTTCATCGTAGAGTGCACGGCAAGGGAGGTTACCGAAAGGCAGAGAGATAGTGAAGAACACTGGTGGACCTTGGCGACTGATGGATCGTCCGGGACGAAAGGCTGCGGGGGTGGGATCGTCCTCACCTCACCTGAGGGATTCCGGGCGTACTACGCCCACCGCTATCTATTCAAAGTCTCGAATAATGAGGTTGAGT